ATGTTCTCTCATGTTAGACAACCTGAAGCTTCCTTCAGCAATCTACCCAACGTTGGTACTCTAGAAGCTAATGATAATCCACTTATCATTCCAGTTGCAGCTAATGACCAAAGCAAATCTTCTTCAGAGATCGTTGTAGTGCTCATTAGTTGCATTCCTCCCTCTACTTCAAACACTGACAAATCAGTGAATGAAATGCCTTCAGCATATGAACCTCTATCAGTCGTTGAATCTGAGGCTCCTTTAGCAATTCTACCCATTGGTGAAGAATTTGCAGTTGAAGCCTCATCTTCTGTTCCTGAACATCAATGCTCAGATGACAATCCTCTACCAGCTTAGCGATGGACAAAAGACCATCATATTCATCAAATTCTTGGTGGTCCAAGTGCAAGTATTCACACTCGACGTGGTCTAGGTAATATTTGTCTCTTTGTCAACTTCCTTTCATTACTTGAACCCAAGAAAATCAATGAAGTTATCTCAGACCCAAGCTGGGTCATTGCCATGCAAGAGGAGCTCATTGAGTTTGATAGGAACAAAGTCTGGTACCTTGTCCCACGTCCGTCTGACAAAACTGTGATAGGCTCCAAATAGATTTATCGCAGTAAGTTAGATGAACAAGGTGTGGTAACCCGTAACAAGGCTCTTCTTGTTGCTCAGGGTTATAGATAAGAAGAAGAAATCGATTATGACGAAACCTTCGCACCAGTGACTAGACTCGAAGCGATTCGACCCTTCCTAGCCTTTGCTGCCCATAGAGACTTCAAAGTGTACCAAATAGATGTAAAGAGTGCTTTCCTAAATGGAAAACTCCAAGAGGATGTTTATGTTGAACAACCTCCAGGGTTTCTTGACCCTCATTATCCAAACCATGTTTATCATTTGGATAAAGCTCTTTACGGGTTAAACAGGCTCCTCGTGCCTGGTATGATACCCTCTCCTCATTTCTCATCTCTGAGAAATTTATCCGTGGAAAGATTGACTAGACCTTATTTCTTAGGAAAGTTAAAGGTCATGTCATTCTAGTCTAAATTTATGTCGATGATATTATTTTTGGTTCCACTAATCCCTCTTTATGTTTTCGGCTCACTGATCGCATGAAGAAAAATTATCAGATGAGTATGATGGGAGAACTAACCTATTTTCTAGGTCTCCAGATCAAGCAATCCGATAAAAGTATCTTTATCAGTCAAAGTAAGTATGTCCGTGATATGCTGAAAGAGTTTAATCTATCTAACAGTTCATCTATGAAAACTCCAATGGCTCCTTCTCTCTCTCTCTCTCAACAAGAATCCAAATGGAAAGCCTGAAAAATGTAAATGTTTATAGAGGAATGATCGCTCCCTGCTGTCTCTTATAGCTAGTCGACCAGATATCATGTATTATACTTGTCTTTATGCACGATATCAATCTGAACCTAAGGAATCCCATCTGATTGCTATAAAACGCATATTCAGATACCTGAAGGGAACTCCTAACTTGGGTCTCTTTTACCCTAAGGGTTCACATTTTGACCTAATAGGTTATTCGGATAGTGATTTTGCAGGTTGCAAAATTGATAGGAAAAGCACCACAGGAAGCTGTCAACTCCTAGGTGGAAAGTTGGTGAGCTGGACGAGTAAAAAGCAAAATTATGTGTCCACATCAACTGCTGAAGATGAATAAGTTGCTGCTGGAAGTTGTTGTGCCCAAGTTCTTTGGATTGCAAACAACCCTGTTCTTCACTCCAAGACCAAACATATTGAGATCCGATATCATTTTATCGGAGATCATGTTATGAATGGTAATATTTAACTTCACTTTCTTCCCACTGATTACCAACTCGCTGACCTTTTCACAAAGCCTCTTGATGAGACAAGATTTAACATCTTGATCAGCGAACTTAGAATGCTAAACGCTGAGAATTAATTTCCTTCAGCTATAAGCATTACTCACTAAGTGAAACGATTCAGTATTCTTATTCTATCACTGAACTCTTGAGTAAATATATCTCTTCTCTCTAAAGTATGTATACTTATTCTTTTTCATTAAAACTTAAAACTATCATTGAAGCGTTTCTTCTTCAGTGATCAAACCATTTTAAAAGATCGTTTTAGGGATTCTTTCTATCGCTGAACTTTTTAAGCAAGTATATTTTTCTATGATAAACTTATCTTATTTTGAAAACAAAAATGATCATTGAACCTTTTCTTATTCAGTGATTCAAAGTTTTTAAAAGATAGTTTCAGTGTTTCGTCTATCACTGAACCTTTTATGATAATATTCTCTCTATGATATTTTCTTTTCTTAAAACAAAACCATCACTGAAGTTTTTCTCCTTCAGTGATCAAATGTTTTAAAAGATCTTCTTTTCATTCTGTGATTCTTCTTATCACTGAACGCTTTCAAAAACCTTTCATATTCTTAAAAATATGGCTTTTAAATTTCTTAAAACTTTTTTTTGTTTTAAAAGAAATGGAAAATAAAACGTTTTATAACGACATTTTTATAAACGATACGAATTTTTTAGGCGCACGTACCATTCTGACACACGCGACCCATCAAAATTCCATCCAATCGTGGATGAAAACCTGCTACTTTTTTCATCATTGCACAACTTTAAAAGTCCTATTTTCCTCTCTCCTAATTTTGTTTCTCTCTCCTTCTACCTATAAATATGAGACTTCTCCTCTCATTTTTGCCTTAAGCTTTCAAATACTTTTGTTGAACCTCTGCCTCAAAGTTATTTGCAAGCAAGAACTAAAGAACGCTCAAACCTTTCAACCTTTTTCTTCTAAGTCTCAAAGGTTGATATCTTTTCTTTCTTATTGATTTGTTCTTATTATTCTAAGAAACTAATGCTTAGTTACTTAAGATCTTGTTCTCTTAAACGTCCAACATAAAGATTATTAACACATTCTCGTACTTGGTTATAATCTAAGGTTTTAATACACTTATTCTTCTTGAAAAACTCTAATATTTTCTTTGTGGATTTTTCAAAATAAGTTTTATTGTTTCAAAACTTAATAGGTCACATCTATATCTTGGATTACTAACAAATTTCTTATTTCTTATTTCTTACCTATAACATAAATGTCTGCCAAGAACGTGAACTTTTCAATCGACGATGTGTCTTTCAAGTCAAATAATCATGTGGCTTTGTTGCACATTCCGGCGAGCAAGTCCTAATATGAGGAAGCTGCTACGTTCCTCAAGAACTCCCCTATCTCCTTCGCTATCTCCTATGAACCAATCATGGTGAAGGAAGTCCTTCAGCAGTTCTGGCTCACTGTTGAAGTTGTTCATGACACTAGCAAGACTGGTCAACAGTTGGAACAAAAGTATAATTTTCATAAAAAGTTTTAAGCATTTTTTGTTCACAAAGTTTTAGGCATTTTTTGTTCACAAAGTTTGCATTTCATTTTTATGCTCCCATAAAGCCATAATTTATATGAAATACAAAGTATGTTCCCACAATTACATCAATATTTTGCAAATATATTCTCAATTAAAGAGTGAATAATATTGGTGGTGTATGTGGTTTGTTCAAATTTTAGATTTGCTCCATAAAATAAACTATTTACATTGATGGTCCTTAACTTTTCAACTTCATAAAACTCAAGAGACTTGGAGTTAAACACTGTCAGTTAGCAATCGTTAAGAGAGACAAATCAGTTTTTGGATAACCAATGCAACTCAATCTCAATCGTCCATTTAATTTGATGAATAAGTAATTTTATAAAAGTTTTAATTGTTTCCTAATATAAAGTATTAATCATAATTAATGAACCCTAGTCATCTTCTATAAATATTCATATCATAATAAATAAACTCTTATCATTTCTATAAATATCTCAATTGATTGAGTTTCATTGGTTGTACAAATGTGATGAGTTGCATTTGAAACCAACTATATATATATATATATATATATATTAATTTTTTTAATTAAAAATATTCTAAGTACTGTTTATATTTTATTATCATATCAACTTTATTATTTTAGCTTCTTCACAATTATTTGATAATTTAATTTAACATTGTCTCATAATATTTTAAATTTAAAAACATATAGTTTTTAAGGGTGTTTGAGATTCGCTTATTTAAAACAAGATTATGTAATTATCTTAAATTTTAATATAACTATCTTAAACTTTAATAATACACGCCATAATATTTTAAATTTAAAAAACATAATTACTTTTTTCATAATAAAAAATTATTTATCATAACTAACAAATTTTGGTATATAATCGTCCCGTGTTAATTGTACTTGAAATACATTTTTAATAAATTTAAAAAAATATGTGAATAAAAATTAATTTCAAAGTGAATTACACTTTTGGGCCATGTAATTTGCCCAAACTAAAGGTTGCTAATGAGAGTGTTAATTGTAGGACATTGAATGTTACAAAATTGAAAAATTAAGGATTATCTCCAGAATTTAAGCATACCATAGGGATAATCAATATGATTCACCCTCAAATAAATGTAGGAAAGAAGAACGCATGTAAGTCGGCCCTTTTTAAAATCATTTAAAGACATCGTTTCTTTCGCTTTATTTTTCTCAAAAATGAGTATATTTGTATGGAGACCGTAATCAATAGCTCTCTACATGGGAGAGGACGCGTGTATGTATATCTCACCTCTTAAACCCTATTTTTGAGTGAGATTTACTAGAACAGTTTAGTTTGGTTATACAAAGAGAGAACATTTAATTACTCTTATGTTTTTTCTATGTAAAAAGCAAATGATGAGTCTTATTGTGAATTTGAGGGGTTGTTTGTTTACCTCTTAATAGTTTCATTAAGAGACACCCTCATAACCGTTAAATGGTGGATCTTGTTTGGCAAAAAAAAAATCCATCACTTAATGGTTATAAAACCTTCTGAATGATTTTGTATCATGTGCCTTCCTTGACCATTCAACGCCCTAATTTCGTTGTAAATAATTACCAACCAATTATATTTCATTTTGCACTATATCATGAGAGCCCTTTAATCATTCTGACCACTTAATCATTCTGCACCAAACTATTCAGTAATTGCCAAACAGTCCATGCATCATAATTCAGATGGATGGTTAAATTGCAGAAGTTTTTCCTTATACAAACAATAGTACCATATATATATTATATAATTTATATATCGGTGAACGACTAAGGGAAAAAACTTTAGAGGACTCGCTTGATTGTGCAGCAGCCGGTATGCAGTTTATACCTTCCTAATCCTAGTGCAGCTTCGACCACCGTCATTTTGATCGGTTACCCGAGTAGATGTTCACAAAGTTGATGTTATATAGAAGTGTTGCATTCGCAGGTATATTGCAGTCCCCTATGGTTACAAGAATGAGTCAAATGACTTCAAATCTTTAGGATGGATAAAGGACCAAATTAAGCATAGAAACAGTAGAAACAGAATAAAACTTGAGAAAAGATAAAGGGGGGTACCAGAAAAGCAACCAGCAGGTTCAGGTCCGTACGCTAACTGCGGAGGAATTTGAAGTTGACGTCTTCCACCTGTGGAGGAAATGGCAGCGTGTTATAACCAAAATAAACGTTGTCGGAAAATGTGGAACCCCATTAAGGCTAAATGGGCACATAATGTCCCAGAGTGTCGAGAGAGGACTAGACGAGCACAAATTGTCCCAGTGTGTCGAGTTCATAGAGTGATTGACTTTGGCTCTGATACCATGTGATAATATGTGGCACCCCATTAGATTTCCATAAAAAAAAATCCTTCTGGCTAGATGAGCACATAATATGCCAAATTGTTGAGTCCTTAGAGTGGTAGACCATAGTTCTGATATTATGTGAGAATATGTGGAACCCCATTACATTATGCTCCAAAAGAACCCTTGAGGAAAGAAGTGAGTTTCCAACATATATTGAGGAGAAATGGTCAAAGTCTAGCTGATGTAAGTTCCAACATCATTTAAGTTTAACTGGATCTTACCAACAAGCATGGGTGGAACACCCTCGCCCCCAAAGATCCCTTGATCAAGTCCCTTGATCACCTGGACATAGAAAAGGTATAGCAGAAAAACAAAATTAAACGAAGCTTTAGATTCTAAAGAATAAATACTTCCCTTCAACTAATGAAACACGAAAGTACATGGAAATGTGACATTTCGTACCTTGCCAACACCAACACGCATTGTTAGAGGCCTTCCACGTTTATAACTGCTGTCGAAAACTGTGCCATCAGCAAACCTTGCAGTATAATGAATCTAAAAAGGGGGAGAAGGGATGTCAAACGAGCATTAGAATCGCCATATATACAAGGTATATATATACATACATATACGCGGAGGCTCAAATAAGAAAGGCATAGGTTGAGAACGTGCGAATAAATGATTCATATGTGAATCATTGGTAAAAGGAAACATGGGTTCACATATACATTTTCAAATGGATATTTTTTGGGTTTACCAGTGATTCACATATGAATCGTTTATTTCAACATTCTCAACATTTTTGTGCTTCTTACTTGAACCTTTATATATATAGGGGGCCTTCTTTTGAGAACCGTGCAATTTATGAGATCAGTGATATCCAATATAAACCACAAATTATATTAAATTAATTGGTAAATTAGGAAATTAGTAAAATAAAGATTATTATTACAGATATTTTACAAATTTTCTCTCTCCTCTCATTAACAACGTAATCTTAAAAAAATAACGAAACTTAACAAGTAACGTAACACATTGTGAATACCAGGTAATATAACAAGTATCTAACCACACTGTGAACACTAGGTAACCTAACAAGTATCTTAACACATTGTGAACGCCAGGTAGCCTAACAAGTATCCTAACACATTGCGAACACCAGGTAACCTAACAAGTATTACCATGTTACTCATTGTAATCACAAGTGAACACAATGTGAACACGAAAACATGAAAACCACAAAAACAACTATTCACTAAAAACTATGTGTAAGGACTTGGATACACATTGTGAACAAAATCAATAATCAAGTCTGAACACCCGTAAAACATATGTAAAACATCTAGTGAATCAAAAACCAAAAATCTATAGTACACAATTTGAACAACTATCTATAGTATCACGATGTAAACATTGTGACTACCTATTTTTTATATATTGTGATCACTTATTTTTTTTATACATTATAATCACCTCATGAACACAATGTGACACAAAATTCCAAGAACAAAAACCAAAAAAAAAATAAAGATCCCTAAAAGCATTCTGTAAGGATTTGCATACACAATGTGAACAATTAATTAATGTTTTATTTGAAGAGTTATGGATTTTTATTTTGGGGGGGGGGGGGTAAATGAATTAAATGCATTTATGAGTTGCTAAATTACCTTACATATATATTTATTTAACAAACAACATGTTGATCCAAACTCTCTAAATGATTTGATGATGATCCTTTATACTTAGCGAAAAATACTTAATTCTGTTTTATTCAGTTTCAGTGATCATCACTGAGTCTGTTCAGTGATCGTTGGACGTGTATTATAAACATTTCTAAAGAACAAGTATTCTTCAAGAAAACAAAATTCACACCAAAGGAACCTTCAGCAATGTCGAAGATATAGTTGAAGATAGAGACAAGCAGTTCGTTATCTGAAGCGGTTTCAGTGATAACAAGCATGTCTACAATCAAGTGTGAAATCTACTCAAGATTCAGCGTACACTAAAGAAATTCTAGAGTTATGCCAGTGTCAGCGATCAAATGAATCTTGTTCTACAAGATTAGTTTTTGTCTTATCCTCCTGCACACAAAGGATAACCTTATACCTCACACAATAAGGCACATGTACGGAGTCACTCTATTGTCTCCAAGCGTGCTAACCTATTTTGTGAAAGACTATTGTCCATATACGACCAAAAGCCTGTATATCTGAAGACAAATGACAAACTCTCCACTATAAGTTTGCCATGTGCTTTGTACCATCTGACTTGCATAGAAAGCAATGGGTATAAATAGCCGAAAAGACTCTCTTCTCAACATGCGAAGCCAAGCTTAGTCTCAAGCAAAGAATAGTACATTCTTAAGCAAGCACTTTTCCTCTTGCTCTTCTGTGTATCTTGTGTGCTTCCTAGATTGTTTAGATTAGTTCTGTATCTGATCTTTTTTCGCAAACAATCTGTAAATTCTGTATTGATCTTCTCATATCAATAAAAGATTTTAAAAAGTAAAAATAGTGTGTTTGTATTCATCCCCTCTTTCTACAAACTCGTTCCTATAAACTCTTGTAGATCTGTCTGAGACCAACATAACATAATTATCTTAAATTAGTGGCTCACATTGGAGGTAACGGATCTCACAAATACTAGGCTTCTCATTTGATTAAGCCTTATATATATATATATATATATATATATATATATATAAAGTGACACAAGATGTGTGATGAAGGTCCTACAACGAAAAAGAAGAAAAAAAGATGTCAAAATGCAGAAGGGTCTTGAGAGTAAGGGGAAGTTTGTTTATCTCTTAATAGTTCCATCAAGAGGCAGCCTCTGAATCGCTAAGAGGTGAATCTTGGTTGGCAAAAAAAAGTTTGTCTCTTAGTGGTTTAAAAACCCGCTGAATGATTTTGTATCTTGGGCCTCCCTAAACCATTCAACCCTAATGTCATTCTGAACATTTACCCAGCAGCCATATTTCATTTTGCACTCTATCTTAAAAGCCTCTTAATCATTCTGACCATTTAATCATCTCACACCAAATGATTCAGCAACTGCCAAACAAACCCTAAGGCATCAACTTACATTTGGTATAACAACTTTCTAATCTATAGATTCAATCCCATTAACCATTCATATATAAACAGATTTACTAGTTTCACTTCATCGTATAGTTCTCTGACAATGATTATAAGTTGTTGGTGCCATATCTAATAATCAAGAGATGGTTTAAGATTAACATATTCAAGGTTATCTCAACACATACTCCGTGTGGAAGTCTAGGCCGATGAATTGTATTGAGGAAAGAAGAGTGTTCCAACATGTATTGAAGAGAAATGGTCCAAGTCAAGCGGAAGAACACAAAAAGTTTTGCAGGCTATCAAACAAAAAGATAGAACTGGAAGAAAAAAGATAGCACACATATATCCTAGTTGATGAAAGTTCTTCAGCCTCTCCGCCTTTGCGTATACCGATCCATTGGACTACGGTATAAATGTATTGAATCATATCAATTAGAAGACTCTAAATGGTGATTGCTAATTATGCAGGTGACTGAAAGATTAGGACACAAGGGTTTAAAGCTTAAAGATTAAACAGACCCGCCAAGCTAATGTTAACAAATATGAAAATGCAGCTAACTAAATGTCAGTCATAATCTTTCAACTTTAGACCAGCAACAGGGTGAGATCATGCATGAGAAGGGCTCTTCGTATATGCTACTTTATGCTTCATCTATTCATATGAGACTAATTTCTAAAACAGTGTTGCATAAGTGGATATCATTCTTCATTGCTACCCTTGTTTCAATGTTTGATATGTATTTTGACTTTTCTAGTCAAATTAGTCACTTTCTGGATACAAAACCAAAATGAACGATTAAAGATACATCATTGCTAGTACCCTTCATATGCAACCTGGAGGTCTTATTTCATATGATATTTTTCACCCCAAAAATCTAAAGAAATTGATCCTGTTGATCCTAAGAACGGTTTATTTGAAACAAAAGTCAACAAAATATATCCATGTTTGAACCATATCGTTTAGATAATGATCAGTCCCAAGGTTCATAATGAATCAACAACTAGACATAATTTGACAATCTAGGTCAAATTATTACTCTACTTATTCAAAATTTATTTAGAATTCTGCTACTGCTTGAATTGTTGAACATAATATTGTTCTAATTAATCAATTTGATCTCAAAAGCCTGTATAACTCACATTGATAAGTTGAGAATACGGAACTTCTTCACCGAACCCAACAGCCACATCGCAGTAACCAAGACCTGAAGGCGCAAACTGAAGCTCACAAGAGGGTTCTGCAACAGTGGCGTAATACTCGATTCTGGTAGCATTGGCATCAAATGGGGATGAAAATAGCATCGTAGCAGCTAAAAGTGCGACACCCATGTCCAATAATCTCCTCTTGTTGTTGTTAGGTTTAGGAGTAAAACCAGTATTCGAGTCTAGAGAGGGATTCGAAGAAGATGGTGATGATGCCTTGATGATGGTGCAGTGGCGGTGTGGCCTGGTGGTGTAGGGTCGAAGGGTATTATGGTACAGAAACGGTGTGGTTAGGGTTTGAAGCATTGAGATCGCCATTTCTTGTGACGATGAGCTTCTTTGTGTGTCTTGTTTTCTATCAGTCTATCTAGAGCTTGTGGACAATTAAATTCCCGCCTCTATTTCAGCTCCGATTATTATGGGAGTGCAATGAATTAGGTGAGAAAATATGTAAATTTTGTGCATTTACAAGTAAAGAAACTTAAAATGTTTTTAAGCTATACTACTTTATAAACTAAATTTTATAAAAGTCTTAAAAACAATTTTAATGTATAAAGTACTATATATTTATGTATAAAGTCTTAACAGTCTTAAAACCAACTAATAATGCATTAAGTACAAGTTATCTTCCCAAATAGCCGCTCCCGTCATACGTCCCCAAGGCCCAAGACGACGATTCACAAATTGATCTTCCTTAAGATGTTGATTCAATCTTCGATATGAGATTTATCATTCAAAATCACTCCTGATTCGATTCTTGCTTCCATCTCCACTCCTGATTCGATTTTTGATAGCTTCTCTCATACAATTCATACCACGTTGCAGGGTTTTTTTTATCTATGGCGATCTCACTCTCGGTTTCCCCTAAACACTCTCGCTTCTCTTGCTCCTCGTGACGAAGACACGAATCAGGCCCGGTTTCCTCTTGTTGCTCTTGATGAAGACACAAATTAGGTATGGTTTCTGTAATTTCTTGTTTCAGTCCTGTTGAAATTATCATTTTGTTATGTAATTTGTTGTTCATCTTGTTGAAATTATCATTTTAGTTATGAAATTACTTGGATTTTGGTTGATCCATCTCGTTGAAATTATCATTTCTTTCTTTCTTTCTTTTAATTTATTGCTTTTTCTTAGTGTGTATAAACATTAATCATGTGGTTGATCCATCCAGTTCTTCTTCTTGGGATGGTTACTGGTTAGTGATTAAATTGTGAGCTTGTCAATAGATCTTGCAGGGAACTCCTCATCAAACAAGGCCAAAAGGCAAAATCGGAAAAGCAACCTTCACAATGATGATTATCAAAGTGCTAAGAACCGTTTGCGTATTCCAATGAAAGAGCAGGTACATCTCGTATAGGAGATGTTCTTTAAATTTGAAGTAATTAGGGATATTTGCAACAAGACTCATATACTTATATTGAGTTGTTCCAATGGTTTTTACAAGTTATTTGCTTTCTATTGCTAATATCTTCTATGGCCTTCTTATGTTGCCATGATAAACAAGGTTGCATATGGGGTTTCGTTGTGCTTGTTTGTTTCTGCATCCCCTTGGTAAGCATCAATGGTGGTTTATTGGACCCCATTTGACAAGTAGTTTCAGTTTGTTCATTCTTATGAATCATTTCCATAACAAGTCGAGGAAATAGTTGGGCTGAGTAATCACCTGTTGGAATTGACATACATATGTGATTATATCAATTAGTATACTATTACATTTGATCAAATTGAGGAAGTTGTTGCCCTCTCTCGTTCATTCATTGGTAATGACATGCAAGTGGTTATATCATATAACAACCAGTATACTTAATTATAATATTGGGGAATGTTGATTGCCAAGTGTGACAGTATAGATTGTTTTTCGTGAATGCAATTTGATTTTCAACACCTTAAGGTCTTATGTAAATTGTTGGATCTTATATGGTTCTCACAGGTCCTAAGGAATCTAGAGAAGACACATCTTCATACTTTCTTCTGTAATTATAATTTGAGCGACATGCAGACAGGCACAAAAGCAAGTTGATACAAGGAGCGTGTGACATTTAAGATTGTAAACATGTTGAAATGGCATTACTGCTTTCTTATGGTATTCCTTAAACAACCTGCCCTTTTAAAGGGATATTATACTTAGAAGTTCTAAAGCTACAAAGAGCATGGTCCTTTTAAGAAGCTAAAATAGTGTAGTTTTCAAGTCCTTTTTTTGCATGTTCTGTCCATGGCTTTAATCCAAGTTGCATTGTGAATTTGTAATTCATGAGTTTTTAGCAAACAGAATATTATATTTCCAAGACTTCATATTTGTCATGCAATCAAATTAACCATGAACAAGGTAGCTATCAGTTTATGGGTCTTCAGCATCATTAGTGTCCTCAATTACTCTACTTCCACTTATCAGGAGAGAATTGAATATGTTAAATTTATTTTGTCATTTGTAGACGTTCCTACAGCATAAGGTCACCCTTGCCTTATCCGTTCCAACTTCAAGACAGGGGAGATAAGAGTTGCAAAGTTCAGAATGTTGCTTCTCTGGTCAAAACATAACTAGAAAAGGACATGGTGGGTGCAACGGTTATGCTTGCCAGGTCGATGGAGACCTGGTTTCTAGCTGAGAGGATGCTTCCCATCATGGAACCGATGATAAACATAATAGTGTATGTTTAAGGGTGAATAGAAACACTACCACTGACGATAAAGATGATAGTGTATGTCCAAGCTTCTCCTTCTAATTAGGTTCAAACCAATTTATAATACTGCAATTTTTTTCAGAGGGACAGGCATACAATGAGTAGTTTTCTAGGTTTAGACATTGTCAAGAACATGAATTACAAATAATTATGCCAATATCTATGTTGAACAAGAATAAAAAGTAACTTTACCCCCATCTACTAGATGAGGACACGTTTTTTATTTGTGTTTTTGTTTTCTGGTTTTTATGGATTTGTTGGTTTTTATGCATAGGTCACTTTGTAGCCGAAATGTATGAAAATGGCTATTTTAATCAAGCTTAAGACTTAGATGCTAGATTCCTTTAAGGGTTTATCTCAACTGTTGTGATAGGTTATGACCTACTTTTTTATCTTTTAGAATTACATTTAAGGGGCTTTCAAGCCAACTTGAAATAATTCAATCACATTCAGATATGATAATTCTAAAACAACATTTCTTTGTGACTTGATGATTTAGAGGTATTGTTCTCTTTAGAAATAATAACTTTGATGTTATTGAGAAGGGGTAAATGATATATAACCAAAGACATTAATTGCCTATGATTTCTAACAAGCTTGAACATATATGAGAATGATGCAGAGGGACTCTAGTTGGTCTTTTAAAAGGACCAGAGAACCTCTGGTCATGTGGAAAGACTTTAACATGTTTTCGGGATTTTATGAACCAGAAGCTCTTTATGTATTATACAAAAGCTTTGTATCTTGAAGATCGTTAATTTGTGTTTTATCTAAAGCTCTGTACCCGAGCTCTGTGTCAGTGCTCTGTCTTTTAAAATTAATTCATTTATTCAAAAATATTTATAAATAAAACAAAGAACTAGAGGAGCTCTGATTCTAGCTTATTTATCTTTTAAAGTTAAGGTCGGTCCTTTCTGGACCAGAGACTCTGTTAATCCAGAGGGTCTCTGGTTGAGTGTTTTTTCGTTTAAATGTAGAGGCTCTGGTCAGTAGAGCCAGAAGCTCTGGTTATCAAGGGCAAATAAACTCTGGCCCGTTGAGCCAGAAGAGCTCTAACCCATTGAGCCAGAAGAGCTCTGACCCATTGAGCTAGAAGAGTTCTATGTCATTTCTATAAAGGGATTCTAGGTTCCAAGAGTTTGCATTTCGGTTGTATATGAAGTAATCTATTGATTTATATATTTTGGCTAATAAATAGATTTCGCATGTTGTTGCTAAAATATATTATCTTTATATAAAAGATGTTTTATTAGTTTTTGATGATCTTCACCCTGCATTTGCAAAGAATGGATTTACTCACTAGACCTTCCGGTCTAACCCTCATTTTTGTATTTTGAAAATGTGCATTGCAGGAACTGCGGGGTCTCGAGATAATAAGGGGAAGGGGAAAATATAATTATTTTTCCTATGTGTAATCTGCTTTATGAAGATCAGGTTGATGCTTGTATAATTTGAAGATACATGTTGCTATACATGTGATAGTGCAAGGATATTCTTTTGGAATTTTTCATATGTAAATTATGTACGTATAGAATCCTTGTACTAGTGGGACCTATGTAGTGTAATCAATATTTCTTTTATAAGAAATATATGTTATATGCAAATGTGGAGTTTGGGGTGTTACAGTAGGTGGTATTAGAGTCTGAGTTTAAAGGATTTAGGTATTCAAAGTATGATGCCTAGACTTAAACTTTATTTTGCATATCAAGGGGTCCTGGACATAGATAGTATCACTAGGAATGAATATAATGGGTTAAAGTGGGCGGTATGTATGGTAAATTCGAATTACAAATGGCCAATGTAATTATGAATTTACAGGTACATATCTATACTCGGACACCTTATTATATTTGGGAATGTGAATACGTGATATTTAAAATTAAAATATTTGCAAATGGCCAGTCGATCAAGAAAGTATGAAAGGATCCCCCGCCCCAATCCTGAAGAAAGAAAAGAATCTCCTGTTAATGCTTCGACTAATATTTCTGGGAGTCGAGGCAGGGGAAGAACCCGAGGTAGAGGCCGAGGGAGGAGTCAAGCTCACGGAAGAAGTCAAACAAAGGTTCATCCAGATCAAGGGGAATCCATTTCGGGAAATGTTAATCAATAGCATGGGCCTCAACGAGAGTATATAACCAGTGATGTTTTGGCTGAAGAAATGGGCAAATTAAGAGACACTCTGGTATCTATCATGGGATTACCAGCCAGAGTGGAAACTGAACGAGTTGGAATGAATCCTCCAGCTCCATCAGTAAGCAGTAATAGAGGGGGAGACATAAAAATGTTCTTAACATATAAACCCCCGACATTTTCAGGAGAGAGAGATCCAATGAAGGCAATGTGCTGGATAAAGGAAATTGAATCGGTGTTTAAGAAAGAAGGATCTGAGGAGGTTAAGGTTAGATTTGAAGTATCTATATTAAAATCTAACGCCTTTTATTGGTGGGATGTGGAATCAGCGGCTCAGCCCAATAATCTGCAAACTATGTCTTAGGAAGAGTTTGTGATCAGATTTAAAAATTAATTTTGTCCTAAGACTGCGGTGAGGCAAATGGAGGAAGATTTCTTAAAATTGGAGCAAGGCAACAGGTTTGTGCAGGATTATACCGAAAAGTTTATTGAATATTCCCTGTTTGCAGAACATTATGTTTCCTCTGAGTCCAAAAAGGTAGAAAGGAACATTTGGGGCTTAAAACC